GGGTGGTAAATTTCGAACTTTTGATCTATAGAAGTGCCCTTTGGTGTGCGTCTGCCCCCCTTTGCCTTTTTATCGTTTCGCGTCCCTGTGTAAAATCATGCAAATTTATATTCAGCTCTGAAATGAACCTTGGTCTTTGCCTTAGCATTATTTCAAATGTTTGAATTTGTAGGTAGTATTCAGATCAGGGAGTGCGTCAGTTTTTATTTTCATTCAAATGAGTAAGGAAATGTGGGAGTTTGACATCAGTGGGGATCTCTACTTTGAGAAGACAGTCAATGGATTCTTTGTCGAACTTTTTGAGAAGTGGAAAGAAATGAAATGTTCTCATTCTGTGACCATTGTTTATTTCTCCAGAATATTCTATGATAAAAATATGCTCAGTAAGTGTGAGGAATGTTTCTGTAAATGAGTTTCACTAAGCACTATGTGACCTAAGAATATGACCACACCCCTTTTCATCAATTAAAGAATGTGACCACAACTTGTTTAGCAATTAGAGAATAAATATGACTACACCCCTTTTTTATCAATTAGAGAATATAACCACCTTTTTTTGTCAATTAGAGAATGTGACCACACACCTTTTTTATCAATTAGAGAATATGACCACACCCTTTTTTATCAATCAGAGAGTGTGACCACTCCCCTTTTTATCAATTAGAGAATGTGACCACACCCATTTTTACAGTCAAAACGGAAATACCTGCACACTTCCGCTTGTGTAGTTCGTTGTGTAATACTGTATTTTTGTAGCTTCTGAAAAAATGTTTGTTCAAAAATCGTGCATTAAGATATAACTAATAGCTGTTGTGGAATTTATTGATTAGCCAACGCATATTCCATCCAAAATAATGCAAACAAACGTTAGTCAAGAATAAGCTGCTTCTTATCGGTAAATTTTTCCGAGCTTCTACAGAAATACAGTATCACACAACAAACTACTAGTAACTGAAGTGTGCAGATATTTCCATTTTGACTGTAAATTGAAAATGTGATCATACCA